CTGTCCACCACAAAGATCAAGTCTGTGTGTTCTGCAAGTAGTGGCACTACAGAGGCCAAATCATTTCCTAGCCACCCATGTCCCACATGGTGAAGCTGATGATCTTGTACTCTATACTCTCCATGTTGAAACCTATTATGGGAATGGTAGTCATGATTTCACCAAGCTTCAATTCATACAGAATTGTCTTCCCTGCCACATCCAGGAGGACGCTTTTTTTTTCCCTTCACCAAAAAGAAGTTTGTAGAGATTTGCAAAGATATTCCCCATAGTTGTGGGTGGGTGGAAGTGACACTGGCCAGAGAAACCTTGACATCTGCTGCTCCAAGCCAGGCATTTGGTTTTCCCCACAAAATGGTGGCGCTGACCTTTAATGCCCTTTTGTTTCAGCCTGAAGGACTCCCTTTAGCAGAATTCCTATATTGTAGACAGGTCTACTAACAGCTTCCTCAACATTTGTTTATCTGGGAGGATCTTTCTTTCACCTTAATTTTTGAACAATAGTTGTGTAAGATACAGAATTCTTGGTGACGTTTCTGTTCTTTCAGCACTTTCAATATGTCATCCCACTGCCTTCTGGTCTTCATGGTTCCTAATTTAAAAATTAGCTGTTTATTTTGTTAAGGATGTCTTGTGTGTTACAAGTCACATTTCATTTGCTACTTTCAAGATTCTCTGCCCTTGGCCTCTCACAGTTTGATTACAGTGTATATTAGTGTGCCTATATTTAGATAGTCCTACTTGAAGTTCATTGGATTTGTATATTTATGTCTTTCTTAAAACTTGGGAAATTTGAGGGACAAGCAGATGGTGTTATAGTTACATTGCTGGACTCCTATGTAGTCGACTGTAGTTAAGAGTTCCAGACCTGGTGGCTTAAAACTCATGCCAGGCATGCGTGTTTGTGTGCCCAAGACCCCAAGAGGAGAATGGAGGAGAAGGGATTGTGGCATGGCCATATCCCTCCCCCCCCCCCCCGGGGGGGAGGTTTTTCTTGCTTTCTGTCTGTCTCTCCCTCTCTCTGTCTCTCTGGCAGGGCCATATGCCCTATAACAAAAATCTCTGAAACAAAAAAAGCTTGGGAAAATTTTTTCGTTTTGTTTTGTTTTGTGTGTGTGTGTGTGTGTTTTAACCCTGTCATTTCTTTAAATAGTATCTCTTCCCCCTTTTTTCCTCTTTTCTTCCGGAACTCTCATTATGCATATGTTGGTACACTTCAGTGGTGTCCCACTGATTTCTTAGTCTTTTTCTTTCTGTTCTTCAAAGTGAGTAATCCTAATAACCTATTTTCAGTTTCACTAATTTTCTTCTGCCTGCTCATATCTGTTATTGAATCCCTCTTGTGAGTTTTTTATTTCCATTATTGTACCTTCTAGTTCTAGAATTTCCTTTTGCTTCTTTTTTTTCAGTTCTATCTCTGTTGATATTCTTCATCTGGTGTGACAATACTCATGGTTTCCTTTCTACCCGATTTCCTTTAGCTCTCTGAGCATATTTTAAATAGTTCATTTAAAGTCTTTCTAATAAGTCAAATATCTGGATTTTTTCAGGAATAATTTATAGTAATTTCTCTTGTTTCTGTGTATGGGCCATAATTTCTTGTTTCTTTACACACCTTGTACTTTTTTCATAAAATGTGTGTTCTTTCTTGTATATGACCACTGAACTTACTCTTCTACTTAGTGGTCGGATTGAGATTTGCCATAAATGCCTAGAAACAAAACAAACAATTCAGTATTTGGATTGATACCCCTAGTATATTGGCTAAGCGCTATGCAGAGGGAACCAGGTCCCATATGGCTAACTACCATACAAATCCTAGCCCCAGTGACTTGAAAGGTATGCTAGGCAAAGTGTGTATATGCCCAGAATCCTGAAGAGATGGAGAAATGCAGGAAAAAGGAGTCATGGTATAATCAGGCCCCATTAAGGGGTGTTGTGTATGGTCTGTCCCTCCCCCCTCCACTTTTTTGTTTTTATTTTGCTTTTGTTATATGGTATGTGCATTCACCAGAGAAAAAGGGAAAAAGCACTACAGGAAAAGAGAGGGGAGTGTTTGGCTACATCGCAACCCCTTTCTCCTCACAGTATTTTGAGCTTTTGAACACACACACACACCACACACACACACACACACACACACACACACACTTGCTTGCCATGTTTTTCAAACCATCAGGTATAGAACTTATATCACACAGTTGGCATGGGGGATCCAGCCACACTAACTACTATGCCACTGGTTACCCCTTGTGTGTGCATGCACCTGACCAATAAAAAAAAAAGCCACAAAAATAAAACTCCCAGTTTTGTTTTTGTTTTGTTGTTATTGAAAGAGATTTTTTTGCTATAAGGGCGTGTGTGCTCACCAGAGAGAAAGAAAGCGAGAAATCACCCCCCGGGGGGATGGCCATGTCACAGTCCTTTCTCCTCCAGTCTCCTTTCAGGATTTCGGGCATGCATGCACATGCACCCTGTGTGAGGTTTAAGTCGCTGGGTCCGGGACTCAAAACGTGGTCGACTGTGTGGGAGTTCAGTGGCATAATCCTTACGCCATCTGCTGGTTCCCAAACTCCTAGTTTTTACAGATGGTTCTCTGTGTACATTGAAATGCCTTTAGTTCTCATCCAGGTGGTTTACAACCCTGCCCTACCCTTCACATTCTCCTTATGCGCATCCTGAAGGTCATTTAGAGATGAGTGCAAGAGCTTAGAATCTTCAAGGTCATTTCCAAAGAGTACCAGCCTTGGGCATACAGATGGTCTTTATTTATTTATTTTGCTGTAGGATGCATATGTTTGCCAGAGAGAGAAAGTGAGAAATCATCCACTGGGGGGATGACTGCACTGCAATCCCTTCTATTCCACTCTCTTGGGATTTTGGGCATGCACATGCACACACACTATTTCTGTGTTTTTCAACCCAACGGGTCCAGGATTCAAACTGTGCAGTTGGCTGTGTGGGATCTAGCACCTAACCTACCACACTACCTACTGGCCCACACCTGACCTTTAGATTCCCAGGAATAGATAGAGGTTTTCAGGGCCCTTGTTCCCCAAGGCATTTCACACCCCAGCCCTTCCTCCCAAGCTTTCTTCTACTTGTTTTTTTATTGCCCAAACTCTATGCCCTGGTGAGTCAGGAAGCAATGCACTTATTATTAAATGGTTCAAGTGCCCGCCCTACCCTCACCCTTGGGAGAGTTCCAAATTAGATAAAACAGTGACAAAACCTTTAACTGGTCCTTAAGTGAGCCACAGACAGACCTGTAAAACAGACCACCTGGGTTCTTGAATAATAATTTTTTTTAAAAAAGAAGACTGATTCTACTCACTCTAGGAATGTGGGCTTTTATCTTCAAGGCCACTCCAGAGCTGGACACTTTAGATTAGGATCAGAATACCATTAAATACCACAGAGATACTGAGATTCAGCTGTGTTTTTGTCTGTTTGTTTGTATGTTTTTTGGTTTTTTGGGGTTTTTTTCTCTCCATTAAGCATTGTCTCGTTGCTGCGAATTTTGAGTAGTTTCCAGAGTTCTGATAAAGTTGATTCTGCCAATTTTGCCAATCTTTTCACTATGAAGGGATGAACTTTTGGAGAACCTTATTCTGCCATTTTTGCTGGTATCATTCCCAGTAAAACTACATTTTTAACTAGCTGGGAGTGAGGGATACATATGTATGTCTCCAGGCAGCCTTTCTCACATGGGTTTCCAGTATAGAAGTAAACCCTAATTCACTAATGTATCCATACTTTTCTTCTCTGCTTGTAGAGTAGTACTGTTAGGTTGCTGGGAGAGTCATGATGTGTTTTTCTATGTAAAAAATGTGTCATGACTTTCCCCACAACCCAATAATTATTTACCATCCTTTTGAGAATTAATAAAATAGTAACTCACCATTTTCTGTGTTTCATCTACAATGTCTGAATTGAGAAAGGATGCCAGTTTTGTTGAGGGTGTTTTGAGAAAGCTTTTTTCTGAAGATGTAGACATTGTGGTTTTGTTTAATTTTTTTTCAGTCTTTCTCTTTATTGTGGGGGACTCTGATGGGCAGCTTTATCAATTAATACAATTAGGTTTAGTTTTCTAAAAGACTTCATTGGAAGGAGGTGGTAACATGATATTGTTTCACAGAGAGGAAACTGGTGTATTTAGAGAGCTATGCAGGTAATGGCGGTAGCCCAGATCCAAGGTGATTGGGACTTATAATGGATTGATGGGAATAGAAGGAAGATATGAATTTAAGTGACATTTGCATTTGAACCATGCTAGATGTGGGGTTACATAAAGAAGAATTTATTGGATCATGGGAAGAGTCATAACGCATTTTTGAAAAATACATCATGACTTTTCTAGTGACCCAGTAGTTGACACTCATAGATGTAGCTGGGATAACTGGGAAATAGCTAAGTTTTAAATTATAATAATGCTTTTCATACTAAAATGATAGATACTTCAGAGGCTATCAAATGTATAAGCTGATTAATAGGCAACATTATATGGCTGGAATTTGGAAGTGGATCCAGTGCTTTATTACTTCTCAGGCTGGTTGATGAGTTTTTAGACTTTGGTGCAAAGTACAGTAGTAGTAAACAAGGCAGAATCTTCTGCTTTGTAACAGCTCATGTGAAAAAGAAAGGAACTGGGAAGCAGATGATTCCATCCTAGTGGTAAGCAGGCAGAGCATCAGGGAAGGCCCAGTGTGGCATGTTGGACCTATCAGCAATATCACAGGCATGTGAAATGAAATGGCTGGCAATTGCTTATGTTTTAACCAGGAGCAACCTCACAGAAAAGTGAAATTCATGTCTTTGAAGAAATCACCTTTAAAGACCATCTTGCCTTGAGTCTTGAAACTTCTTGCTTTGGTTTGCTTCTTCGTTTCACCTTCACATTGGATGGCTTCTCAACACTCCATGCCACAATACACTTCGTAAATATTGTTTGAACAAGGCACTATAAAACTGTCTTAACATTGTGTTTTTTCTTTTCTAAGAGCTGGGGTGGAAAGGAGAATGGCTTTGGACTTGCAGAATGTTGCAGAGACTTGCATATGATGGTAAGTAACTCTTCAGGATATGGGTGTCTTTTTTTGCCGGGCTGTGGCCTTTTTGTGAACCCTCTTTTACAATGAATATATGGTATATAAAGTTACCTGATTACATCAGGACCTTTGAGGTCATTTGAGACAGGGAAGACCTTAGGAAGTCATGTAGCAATGTTTTGGCTCTATGTGCTGGCAGTAGATAAAGGATCTCAGACAGTAATACAAGGGATCTTCAAAAGGCTCATGGAAAATGCATACTATGAAAAAACTACATGGATTTCAGAATTTTTTAATGCCAAAATATGCTCGTACTAACGTGTTATAACATGTCTGAACAGGATCTAGTCTGAGGCACTAAGAATGATAAAACATCAATTTGAAAAAATCCCCTATTCAAGCACCATGAATTTTGCTAAAATTGAAGCAAGAACAAAAGTAAAATTTTTGGTGACATTTGAGTGGAAGAATGGTGAAATCATTTCTGGTTTATGAGAAGCTTATAGGAACAATGCCCCAAAGGTATCAACAATTTACAAATAAATAATTTGTTTTAAGAAGAGACAAGGGGATGATAAAAGATGATGTCTGCAGGAAATTCCAAATCAACCACATAATTTGAGAGGAAGAAATTAATCTTGATTGTGTCCTAATTGAAAAGAACAATTAACAGCAAAAACAATAGCCAATGCCGTAGACATCTCTTGGTTTGGCAAACACAATTCTGACAGAAAAATTAAACTTTAATAAGTTTTCTCCTTGATGGATGCCAAGACTGTTGCACCCAGATCAGCTAAAGACAACAACAGTGCTTTCGGTGGAAATTTCAAATAAACCGGGGTCAAGATCCTAAAACTTTTTATCAAAGAATTGTAAGCGGAGATGAAACATGGCTTCACCACTATGATCTTGAGGACAAAACACAATCAAAGCAATGGCTACCAAGAGGTAGAAGTAGTTCAGTTAAAACAAAAGCAGACTGGTCAAGAGCAAAGGTCATGACAATGGTATTTTTGGATACCCAGGATACCCTAGACACTTTGCGTATTGACTTTCTGGAGGACCAACGAATGGTAACATCTGCTCATTATGACAATGTATAGAGAAAGTTAGCTAAAGCTGTAGCAGAAAAACACTGGGAAAGATGCACTACAGAATCCTTTGCCATAGCAATGTTCTTGCAAATTTGTCTTATCAAACAAGGGCAATTTTGCTGGAGTTTCAGTGTGAAATCATTATAGTTCTGATTTGATTTCTTCTGACTTATATTCTATTCTTTGAAAAATCTTTAAAGGGTACCCATTTTTCTTAAATTAATATTAAAAAAGATTGCACTGGCATGTTTGAATGCCTAGGACCCTCAGTTCTTTAGGGATGGACTCCGTGGCTGATATCATCACGTACAAAAGTGTCTTAAACTTGATGGTACTTATGTTGAGAAATAAAGTTTAAATTTTTCATTTTTACCTTTTAATTCCACAAGTTTTTTGAAGTCTCCCTTATATAGTTCTTGAGTAGAGACCTGAAATTGTTGAATTGGTTTGAATGAAACTCTTAAAATACCAGAAAGTTTATTTTCTTTTATTTTTATACTGTAACTATCAGAACTCAGGGTAACATGATTTAGGAAGATGCTTTCCATCTTTGCCTTTTTGCCTTTGACTCATGCTTAGGCTGTAAGCTTAGGCCAGTCCACCTTTGCTTTGATGTGTTGCTGTGGAGCCACAAGGCACTATTGGATTTTCCGTAACAATTTTGTGACTTGAAGCACCTATATTTTATAGCCTATGTACAGCTTGTCTTGATAATTTGTCAGGTTGAGCACAAATATCTGTAGTGAGGTTTAGAGAATTTATCTTAGCAAACCTTTCCCCCCCAGGAGAATGACTTTTTTTTTTTTCATGGTCACAGAAAACTATATTAGAGCAAGTTACTTTCCTTTGTTTACTGCTATACTTTACTTAGTATTTTTTGAATGGGTTATTAGGTAAGATTGGAGGTGAATGTCCGTTTAATGATCAAAACTAAATAAATCTTAAAGAGTATTTGGAGTTTGGAGTCCTAATTCCAAGAACATTTTTTTATCTTAAAAGTTTAGTTGATTAATTCTGAGCCTCCTTATGCATGCCCAGATTATCCTTTGCCCATCGGACAAAATGGTATTACATACTGAACTAGGCATACATGATGTCCATTTTCCAGTTTGGTCTCAACCTATATTAAGAAATCACACCTCCTTTTATTTACTGAGGTTTGTTTAATATGTCATGAAACTTTGGAAAATATAATGTGTACTACAAGAGGAATTTATATTTGTGTGTGTGTCTATACAAGGGGTCTCCAGAAGGTTCACAGAAAATACTTCTTATGAAAAATCTGCATGAGTTTCAAAATTTTTTGCACCAAAATAAATTTGTACTTTAATTCCATATTCTATTAATTTTTAGAGGACCCCTAATATGTGTTTAAAAAAAGGAAGAGTTGTTATGACAGGTATCCAGTGATAACCTCTCCATCCTCAGGGGCATTCATTGCTAGTGGTTTCTTTCAAGGAGACCTTTTAATGAGCATGCTGTTGTCATTTTAATTTTGTTTATCATACTGCCTTTTTTTAGAGTTAAAAGGGAATATGTTGTTCAGGGTCTGGTTTATGTTGACTGATATGTAAATGAGCTGGTAAGAAAAGTGTTATAGAATGTTGTATTAGATAGTATCTGAAGAATTATGAGGAAAATGCTCATGAGGCATACTTTAAATAAAATGTTTTAGAAGACAGATGTTAAGACAGAGGTTTCCATAAAATGTCCTTTTTTATTGTTTTTAGCTGTTACCTGGACCTCAGTATTTCCCTCCTTTTTTGGATTCTTATTTATTACTACTTGATAGATTTGACTGCTTCACTTCTCTCCCCTTGAAAATAGCTGCATTCAAAATTGATCTCTTGAAAGAAAGAGTTCCTGGTAACTTATAAGTAATAAATGCAGAAGCTTTTGGAGCTCTGGGCTCTATCCTCCTGCTTCTGCTTTGAATAAGTTTCACCCCATTTGAGCCTTCTCTGGGACAAGGAGTTAAAGACAGTATACACTGTAGATGCTGAATATACTGCTGGTTCTGATGCTACAATGAGTTGGAAAAGTGGCTAGTCCTTTGAGAAAAGTATTGGGAGAAGATGCCTTGTCTATAATCAGTTGAAGCTCAGTTTCTGATTCTTTGATATGCTTTATACACAGAAATATCCACCCAGTGCAACTACACTACACTTTGAATTCTATGCAGACCCTGGGGCCGAAGTCAAAATCGAGAAAAGGGTGAGTCTCATTCAGACTTGTTCTGATACAGTCTGTAATCTACGATACTTGGGATTGACTTTTCTAGAATTCCTCAGTTAAATGAGGAACTGTTTTTGAGTCACATTGCTGCCCTCCCCAACTAAATATACCTAGCATCTTCTCTGGAATAAATGTTAATTGCATACCCAGCTCTGACAGAGTTGAGTTTTATTTATGTTGGGGCTGCCAAAAGACAGCACCAACTTACTAATCGGGTGGGACACTGTCATGATCTGGTAAATTTTTCTCAAAATCTCAGTTGAGAATTCCAAAGTAGTGTAATAGGCTGAGTATTGATGGCTCAGGTTTCTCTTCTTAAACCATCCTGCAAGAAGTCTATATAATATATTGTATTAGGGTTCCGCTTAAATTTTCTGGTTGTTTTCATGTTCTTTGAGGAGGTACTAAAATTCAGCTTGGTTCAGAAGTATCCTAGTAAATGAGATCCTGTCTTTCTACCTATAAGATTAAATAATATAGTGTTAAATACATAAATAATCTTTCTAGATTAATGTTGTCTTGAAAATAGTTCTAATGCATTTTCAAAGAGAAACCATTTTCATGGATTTGGTCTTTGCTACAAATACTGAGTCCATGGGGATTAAGACAGCGGGTAGTTGGGACCAGCAGTTGGCGTAATGGCTATGTCGCTGGACTCCCACGTAGTCGACTGCGGTTCACATCCCGGACCCGGTGGCTTAAAACTCACGCCGGGCGCATGTGCCTGCGTGCCCAAGATCCCGAGAGGAGAATGGAGGAGAAGGGATTGTGATGTGGCCGTCCCCCCTGGGGGGTGATTTCTCACTTTCTGTCTCTCTGTCTCTCTCTGTCTGTCTGGCGAGCAAACGCACCCTATAGCAAAAACCTCTCAAAAAAACAAAGAAAAAGAAAAAAAGACAGTGGATAGTTAAAAAGAGACTAAGAAGTATTTGAAATGTGCCTGGCTGTTTGCAGTATAGTTTGATACTACTGGTTTCAAAGATGCTTTCTTGAGCATATTCTATGTATAAAATGGATGTTTTAGAGGACTTTTGAAGTTATCATCATTCTAGGGCTACATCTTTGTTTTCAGATGGCTCTTGCAGCCCTACGGCAGGGGAAACTAAGGTGTTAAGTGACTTCTAACAGCTCTCCTATGTTTTTAATTTTAGACAACTAGTAACACACTACACTATATCCACATAGAGCAACTTGACAAGGTAAGATGAGTCTTTGAATGTCGACTGGTTTCTTAATGTTTAGTTTGCTTTTTTGTTCCTAATTGTGTTTTTCGTTTGTTTGTTTCTAATGTAGATTTCAGAAAGCCCTTCTGAAATCATGGAATCTCTTACCAAAATGTACAGCATTCCCAAGGATAAACAGGTATGCTATCCTAAAATTGCCCCAGACAGTGCAGTTGTTATCCAGACAGATTAAAGATATGTGCTAGGGCGAGGCACTACATAGCAAAAAGAATATCAGCTTTGGAATCAGACCTATGTCATATTAGTTAACCTCTTTTACCAGTAGTTTCCTTATCTTTTATGAGGCCAGAACTTAGTAACCTGTAAGGATCCCATTATAAGAGTTTGTGAAAAATGTAAACTACGTGACTTACTTTGAGTGTATAATAAATAGCAGTAGTTTTCCTAGCATTTTGGATACCACAGGACAGAAGCACAGTTGTATTATTTTTCTCTGCTCCTTTTGATGGTGATCAGATATTAGATTTGATTAATAATAATCAGAGCTCTTGCCAGAATTTTCTTTTTGCCAGCTAGTACAGTGACAGTTATTGGCTTATGTTGGGATATTAGGATTCTGTGAGGCTCTGTTTTTGTCCTTCCTATCTTGTCAGCTAACCTCAGAGTAGACAGAACCAGTTCTGTTTGATACCTTAGCATACAGTAACAATGAACCATTTTACCAAGCAGCTCAAAAGGTTAGAGCCCTCAGAAAGAACATTCATCTTTTCCATTGGTTTTCTAACATAGGTCTTATCTCTACAGATGCTGTTATTTACACACATACGGCTGGCCCATGGCTTTTCCAATCACAGGAAGAGATTACAAGCAGTTCAGGCCAGCCAGCATGCGATATCTATATTAGGTAAGAGAAGAACATTGAAATTAACAGTCTCTAATTAGGCGATTTTTACTTTATTTCCTTTGCACTTCGTCCATCTTTGTTGCTATGAGGCTTATTGTCGTTATCTAGGATGGCATTTTAAATTATAAAATTGCCAACATCATTCATTCATCATTCTTGAGTTTCTTTAGGTTGGACTAGAACAAGGATATGGTGCTCATGGGCATGTCACTTGGATTTAGTCTTGGTTTTGGTCTTTCATTTCCCAGTGGCCCCTGTTCTACCTCTTAGCATTTCGTCATCGTATTTTCCCACTCTTTCAGGGGTATAATTTTGAAACAAGTCAGAAAATACACATTAGTCATTACTGTGCATTTAACTTTTTTTTTTTGAGAGGTTTTTGCCTTAGTGCACATGCGTTTACCAGGGAAGGAGAGAAAGAAAGAGAGAAATTGAGATCGAGATTGACAGTAAGATGGAAAGTGACAAATCATCACCTAGGAGAGATGGTCACGATGCAATCCCTTTCCTCCATTCTTCTCCTGGATCTTAGGCTTACACACACATGCACCAAGTGTGATTTTTGAAGCCACCAGGTCCAAGACTCAAAACATGGTCAACCATGTGGGAGTCCAGCAATGTAGCTGCTATGCCAAGTGCTGGCCCTTCATTAACATTTTTTTTTTTTACATTCAATCACCGTATCATTACAGCATACCAAATGAATTTTCCCATCCTGAATACACTGTATATTGGTTCAGTCAAAGATATTGCCATATATATTATCGTCAACAGATAATTTTTCATTTTGTGTCCCTTAAATGTTTTGTTTCTTTTGCCCCTCGATTCCTTCCCTCTCACCCTCTCCCATTTCCCACATTCCTCCTATATTGTCTCTAGTATCCACAGTTGCTCTCCATACTTTCATACTTTCCGATGTTTCAGTTTCTGCTATAGAGTACAGGCATTCAGTATATACTGAATGGGAACATACAATGCTTCTCTTTCATAGTCAGACTTGCTTCACTTAGCAGTAAATTTTACATATTCCTCCTTTCAAATGTCAGGCTCTCATTGTTTATTTTTTTTGTTTGTTTTTTTGGGTTTTTTTATGGCCGAGTAGTATTCCGTAGTGTCCCTTTGATAGCTGAGCTGATAGAAAGGACTGTAGCCAATTCCTAAGCAGGAGGCATTTAACTTTTTTTACTATGGAGTAGTAGAATACAAAGCACATGGTTTGGGAATCAGTTGTGGCTTGCAACTTATTAACCATATGCTTATTTTCTTAGCCCCAATTTTTTCATTTTATATTGGGACAATACAGTTCACCCTTGAACAACACGGGTTTGAACTGTACAGATCCACTTAAATGCAAATTTTAGAAATAAATACTATAAATGTATTTTCCTTATGATTTCCTTAGTACCTTTTTTCTCTAGCTTGCTTTATTTTAAGAATACATATAAATAAAAAATATGTGTTGATTGACACTTTTTGGGTTATTGGTAAGACTTCAGTCAACAAGAGGTTATTATCAGTAAAGTTTTGGAAGAGTCAAAATGTAAATACAGATATTAAACTGCACAGATGGTCAGTGCCCCTAGCCCCCATGTTCATGGGCTGACTGTACTTACTTTGTAGGCTGGTCTGAGGATAAAATGAAAATCTGGAAGGCAGCCTAGCACAGGCCAGGCACATGAAAGGTATAAAATGGTAACTGTTAGTATCATTAGCAATCTTCATTGTATTGTTATTTGTTTGTTGTCTGCTCTTTTAAACTGAGTACTTCGCCATGAAATTCCTGCTCTTGTACTTTTCCTCATACCTAGTAAAACTCTGGCATGTTAGTAGGTATTCCGGAAATACTTGTTGAAAACTAAGCAGATAAACTCAAATCCCATTAAATTGCAATATAACCTCAGTGTGGAATTCACTGCAAGTGACTTGTGTAGAATTCACTGAAAGTGACTTGCATGCATTATCAAGTTTTATTGGATTGTCACATAGGTTTCTGACTTAATCTAAAATAGTTAGTAAATTCTATTTTTTGTAGCTTGTGAAACTTTACAATGAAAATAGAAGTGTGTGAAGAGGATAAAATAGAAGTCTTTGACCAAGGCATAGTGGAGTTATATCAAGTAGTGATGATATGGGAATATTAACTCTTTATTCTCTTTTCTTACTTCCAGCCCCCAAAATCCTTCCTCAAGATTACCTATGTCTTTCATAGGGGACTCTCAGTTTGGTGGGCTTAACATTATATTTGATCTGATCCTCTAGAATTCAGTGGTTTTGCCCTCCAATGCTGGCTGGAAGGGAATCTTTCCTTGGAACCTGTAGATGTCGAAAGGTTTGTCACTGGGCAGTGGCTTGACCACTGCCTTCTTGCCTAAAGTATTTGTTTCTCCTTTCGCAGTGTATTCCAATGCCTTGCAGGAATCGGCAAACAGTATCTTATATAACGGGTTGATAGAGGAATTGGTGGATGTCCTTCAGATAACAGATAAGCAACTTATGGTAAGTATTAATATCCTTCTCTCTATATCAGGCTCATACTTGCATTTTGTTCTTTCTCATGGGGTTAGAAAGAAGCCTAAAAGGGATGCTAGCCCTTTGATTCTTCCGATTTGGGTACTAAGCTGCAAACTTAACAAATGCTGGATTTTCAGTGTTGTTCTCAATAGACCTCCATCTCCTCAAGCCATTACCAGAAGAATGATTTAAATTGTAAGAGTTTGGTATATTAGTAATTCGGCTCTGTTCATCTACTTCGTGACACATTTATATTTACCTTCTGTTCCCATAGGAGATTAAAGCTGCTTCTTTACGAACATTAACATCAATTGTCCACTTGGAGAGAACTCCCAAACTCAGCAGTATTATTGACTGTACTGGAACTGCCTCCTACCATGGATTTTTACCTGTACTTGTGCGGAACTGTATCCAGGCTATGATTGGTAAGTTTTGATGTTGATGTTGATTATTAAAGTAAGAAGAGGACTCTGCCCTTGGCATTTCTGTCTTTAACATCCTGTCAGCTTAACACCAAATTCTGAGCTTATTTTTTTTTTCACCTTCTTCCAACCTTTCTTGTAGATCCTTCCATGGATCCGTACCCTCACCAGTTTGCCACTGCTCTCTTCTCTTTTTTATACCATCTGGCCAGCTATGATGCTGGTGGCGAAGCCTTGGTCTCCTGTGGGATGATGGAAGCCTTACTGAAGGTGCTGTGCTTTTTAATAAATTTGTGAGGAAATCAACTAAGAGGGTGGAGAGTTGTAAGTTTGAAATGTTTCACGGTCAGATCAGATAACATAAAAAAGCTTATTTAGAAAAAGTTAAACTTATTTTTTCTAGTTTGACCTTCTAGTTATTTCAGTAACAGCTCCTCCATTGTTAGGAATTTATTATAGTCCAGCATGGTTTGAAAGTCAGGAGGCCCTGAATACTAGACAGAACACTGCCTCATGTTGTCATGACCTTTCGCACAATCCTGAGAAAAATGAATTTAAGGTACTTAGAAGTTGTGCCTGCACAGCTTAGTAATAGCCTGCAACAGGCACTGGGCACCAGCCTTTTTCTCCCCGAATATTTATCCCATGAAGTAATTGATGTCCTCATTACCTTAGAAGAGTTGAGTCCCAGAAGTCATTTGATGGGCACCAAAACATAAAAACACGTTTTTCTCCCTGTACCATGTCACCTCACTGAAGCCTCAGAATGCATGTTTACAAAGGAATTCAATTTCTGCAGCTTTGTATCTTTTTGATTGTCTTTGCCTCTTTTTCTCACTTGATAGGTCATAAAGTTTCTTGGCGATGAACAAGACCAAATAACGTTTGTCACCAGAGCCGTCAGAGTGGTAGATCTCATCACAAACCTGGACATGGCAGCTTTTCAATCCCATAGTGGACTTTCTATCTTCATTTATAGACTTGAGGTATTATTATACAAGGAACACTCTCCATAGACTTTATATCCAGTGAGAACTGAACCTTAGGAATTGTCCTAGTTAGTAATCCAAAAGAGCTATGTAGCCCTGTTCTGTTTCTAGAAATCACTTCTCTAATTCACCTGGTGGAATCTTCTCATTCTAATTCATTCTGATCCCTGAAATAAATACAGAGTTTTCTTCTTTTCTTTTATCTAGCATGAAGTAGATCTGTGCCGAAAAGAATGTCCATTTGTGATCAAGCCAAAGATCCAGAGACCCAGTACTGTACAAGAAGGAGAAGAAATGGAAACTGATATGGATGGTAATTAACATTTATTCAGTCAGTGTTTTTTTGTGTGTGTGTGCTTGAGATTTTCATTCTTCCTCATAAATTCTGAAGTATATAATTGTAAAATACACTACTGTAAATTTTTTCTGCACAAATGATTTGCAGATTGATTTTCTAAAGTATAATCAGAAAAACAAGTGGTTGGACATAGACATGGATGTTGAAGCACATGGTAGGGCTGTGGTAGACCTCTAAAATTACTTTTTGATGATAATCTGTTTTATTTTATAACCTAACTTATGTCTTCTTATGTATTGGTTTATACCATCTTATTCCCCCTAAAATGCAAGCTTCATGGCATCATGATACTAGTATTTTCATTGCCACAGTGCCTGATAAATCCTAGATATTTAACAAGGACTTGGTAAAGATTAGGAAAATACAGAATCAGAAATGAGATCTTTTAAAAGTTTATCAGGCTATTTTGGGAGCCAGCAGTTAGCGTTATGGCTGTGTCGCTGGACTCCCACGTAGTCGACCGCAGTTCGCATCCGGGACCCGGTGGCTTAAAACTCACGCTGGGCGCATGTGCGTGCATGCCCAAGATCCTGAGAGGAGAATGGAGGAGAAGGGATTGCGGCGTGACCATCCCCCCTGGGGAGTGAATTCTCGCTTTCTGTTTCTATGTCTCTCTCTCTGTCTGTCTGGCAAGCGCACGTTCCCTATAGCGAAAACCTCTCCAAAAAAAAAGAAAAAAAGTTAATCAGGCTATTTTGAGAAAAGAGAAGAGAGGTTAAAAAGATTGTTGAATAGGGAAGAATATTTTAAATCAGAATTAGAAAGATAATAATACTCTTTTAGGTGCATTTTTTTTTTATTAAAAACCTACCCCAACCTCCAACTTCTGCCTAACACACAGTTCATAACAATACCAAAAGGGTGAACTTCTCAAAATAGCTCACTTAGGTTTTAAATTAATTTTATCTTTTTTTCTTTTTCTTTCTTTCTTTCTTTCTTCTTTTTTGGAGAGGCTTTTGCTCTAGGATGCGTGCACTCGCCAGAAAGACAGAGACAGAGAGATAGAAATTGAGAAATCACCCCCCGGGGGTGTGGCCACGCCTCAATCACTTCTCCATTCTCCTCTCAGGATCTTGGGCACGCATGCACGCACATGCGCCCAGTGTGAGTTTAAGCCACCAGGTCCGGGACTCGAACCATCGTTGACTACATGGGAGTTCAGCAACATAGCCATTACGCTAACTGCTGGTCCCAAATTAATTTTATCTTAATGACTCACATTGTTATTACATATATCTGTTATCATGTTTATAATGAAGATACTAGAATTTAACAAATAGAAACACTTATTTTTATTCTTGACACTAATTATCCTTAGGTTTCTATTCTTTCCCCCCCCTATTTTTATAAGTTATCTATCCATGTTCCTAAAAACTCCTTTGCCCAATTTTTGTTGTTCTTTTTTGTTTTTGTTTGTTGGGTTTTTTGGTTTTTGGTTTTTGGTTTTCTTTTTGGAGAGGTTTTTGCTATAGGGCGCATATTCTCACCAGAGAGACAGAACCAGAAAGGGAGAAATCATCCCCCAGGGGGGATGGCCACACCACAATCCCTTCTCCTCTCGAGATCTCGGGCACGCATGCACACATCTGGCATGAGTTTAAGCCAACGGGTCCAGGACTCGAACCATGGTCAACTACATGGGAGTCTAGTGACATAGCCATTACTCTTACTGCTGGTTCCTACTTTGCCCAATTTCTGTTTGCAGTCTTTTGTACAGAAACTGGCAAACTAGTGTTTGAGTTCATGATTGAATCCCAGAGTGTTAAATAATATGTGACATCTTAAAATTGGTATAATATAGATAACTACTTAAAGATTCACTTTGTTAAAGATCAGTGATTGTCAGATTGTAGTAAGTAGAAGACTGAGAATGCTTGCTAAAAGATTAGTTCCCTGTCTGCAGTGCTTGATAGGATAAGTTTGCAGTTGGAGACCAGGACATCTACATAAATTAAATAACCAATTCAGGTGATTCTGGTGTACTAGTAGAGACTTTTACATAGAACTACAGGCATGTACTTCCCATATGTGAGTAAACACATTGTAATTAAATATATTTAAAGAAAGATTAGAAAAATACATTTCAAATACCGTTAGTAGAACTTTATTATATTTTATTAAGTTTTAAGAGATGGTTATGTATTGTATATTCAATTAATTAAAATTATTCAAGTGTGCAAAGTCAAAATGAATGTTTTCCTCCCACCCACCATAGCTGTTTATTTAGTTTAGTTCTTTCCAGGCTTTTTATGTATACACACATACGTGTTCATGTATGTATACAGTTTAATAGCCAAATGGCATGTGTGCTTATAGGACAGGGATGGGGAACCCCTCCACCCACCCCCAAGGAGGTATGGCCACACGACAATCATTTTTCTTCCATTTCTCCACCCTCTCAAAATTTGGGGCATGCACACACATACCCTGTATGTTTTTCAAGCTCCATGGTTAGGACTCAGACTGTGGTCAGCCATGTAGTGTCCTGTGCTACTTAGTTTTTTTAGAACAGGAAAATAAGGTCATATACACACTGTTCAATTTGCATTGATCATTTAATATGTTAAAATATCCTTCCAGATCAGTATTTTTTTTTTTTGAGAGGTTTTTGCTATAGGGCGCGTGTGCTTGCCAGAGAGACGGAAAGCAAGAAATCCCCCCTCCCCCTCAGGGGGGGTGGCCATGCCACAATCCCTTCTCCTCCATTCTCCTCTCGGGATCTTTGACATGCATGCACATGCACCCAGCATGAGTTTAAGCCACCAGCTCCGGGACTCAAACCGTGGTCAACTACATGGGAGTCCAGTGACATAGCCATTATGCCAACTGCTGATCCCCAGTATATTAAGTATTAATATTATAGTGTTTAAAATTTAAATTAATTATCCTCCTACAAAGCTCTACCTATGTATTACCAAACCAGTAGTATTATGAAATTGCATGTTTTCCTTAATGCTTCCTCTCCCACCCCAATTTGGTGGGTGAAAAATACTGAACTTGTTTGATAGCATTGTTTTCAATTTGTATTTCTTAAATAACTAATGGTGTTAAATACCTTTCTATTTGTGGAAAACTTAACATTTTCATTTGGGGGTCAATATCCTAATCCTCCATTTTGATATCATTCATCTCACCTTAATGGAAGAAATTTTCTCAAACAAAAATTTTGTTTTGTGGTACTTTTTATTCTAATTAGTTTCTTTATCGTAACTTGTACTTTAGTTGCAGATGTGACTATGGAAAGCAGTCCAGGCTCATCCATCTCTATGGAGCACCGGCTAGATGTTGAATTAAGGGCATCAAGTTCCAGCAGCAACACTAACATCTCCTCTGGAACTGGCCCCGGCCCAGGCCCCGGCCCCGGCCCCGGCCCTGGCCCAGGCCCAGGCCCAGGCTCAGGCTCAGGCTCAGGCCCCGGCCCCCGTCCTGGTGCGTAGACACATAGATAGACAGTCTTTCACAGTGACTGAATTATTAAATTAGTGAAAATGAGAGCTTTTAGGAGGAGCTTAAGTGGTACATTTTGAGGATAGCTTCTTATGAGTGCATGTTACCTCACCATTCTGGTATTCTGTTTTCTCTTACATTAACATGTCTTTCAAAGAATTTTATCGTTTTCTAAACAATTTGAACATTGATGATCAAAACAACCATGTTGGAGGGCAGTTAATACCTAAAACAGGAACTGAGTAAGGTTCATAGAGTTGAATCATTTTACTTCGTACCTTTTTACTTTAGGGTTTTAATTTTAGTACTGGTCTTTTGCCATCCTTGGTGATTTATTTTTCCAATTTCAGAGCTTAGTTAAGTGTTTTTTTGTTGTTGTTGTTTCTTTGTTTGTTTGTTTTTTTACCATCCTGAGACCTTACTTTGAATATGTGCTATTTTGGCTAACTAGTATAAATGGGTCTGTTCTACATACCAACTCACTGTTATTTAATGGCAAGCTCAGTATAATCCTCTTTTCTTCCTTCCTTTTCCAGGAGTTCAGTGTATTCCACAAAGAGCAGCACTTCTAAAATCCATGTTGAATTTCCTCAAGAAGGCTATTCAAGACCCTGCTTTTTCAGATGGCATACGACATGGTATTTGATTCTGGATTTTTTAAAAATAAATTTTATTTATTACTATTATGTTTTAATTTGAAAGCAGAGAGAGAGGGAAAGTAAGAAAGCAAGCCACCAGGTCCAGGGCTCAAACCATGGTTGGCCTGTGGGAGTCCAGTGCCTTAACCACCATTCTACCTGCTGGCCCCTCTTGATATTTTTTTGAAGAATGACTCAAAGACTGGTCCTTTTTATTACTATTCTGACACTTAATCTTCTTTTACAGAGCAGATATAAGAATAGTCTATGCCATTTGAAGAGCTTTTACTTATTTAATGTTACTTTTTCTAGGTTTGTGGGTTGTTCAACTATTTTCATAATGACTCTTTACACACTGCCTTTTTTTTTTCTTTTCAACCTTTTGACTATGTGCTCCCATCCATCTGCTACACCTCTCCGATTCTCTGTCATCCTCTTTTTAACTCATTTTTTTAGGTAGTTTTTTGTGTGGACAAAGAAATAATAAAACACGAGACGATGAATAGGGACCATTTGATTGTAATCAACACAGATTTTGTTTATCATGGTGGGGTATGTGTAACATACTGCTCCATTATGCTCTCTTCACACTACTCCCAGTTGTTCATATTCTCTTAATTTTCACTTTTCTCAGTGATGGATGGCTCTCTGCCTACCTCTCTGAAACACATCATCAGCAATGCAGAATACTATGGCCCATCACTCTTCCTCCTAGGTAAGTGAACTTGACAGCTGGTTATACCAAGCTGAGATATAATCCAACAGAGCTTTTTGTTCTATATCTTTGCAAATTTTACCGTCCATATTTGTTCACTGTGCAATTACATATTTTACTGGTAATGAAAATAAAGGTCAGAAATCAGTTTCATATAAATACTAATTTCAGTGCCAAATATATCTTTTTCAGCAGTATATTATGAACTATTTGTAGTAAGTATTATTATTGTATATTTGGCTCATTTATGCTATACTTAAGCTTCAAGTAGGATTTTTTTTTAAAGAAATATGTCTTTATTCAATGGTTATTTCCTAACTATGGTCTGTGAAATTCAGTGAAAGTGGTTTCCATTCTCAGAGTCAGATGTCAGACCAGCAAATTTTACTATAGAAAATTTTTTGTACTAAACAGAAGGTAATTTGGGGGTGAGCCAGTGGCATGTTGATTTAGACGCCTGTTTCTCACATGGCCCACTGTGCAGTTTGAATCCCAGATCCAGTGACTTGAAAAACACATCAGGAGCATATGTTTAAAGGTCCAAAATTCCAAGAGGAAAATGGATTACAGCATGGTCACCTCTCCCCCTACCCTCAGGATGATTTCTCACCCTCCCCTTCTGTGTCTATGTTTCTGGTGAGCACATGTACCCTATAGCCCAAAAAGGAGCCTTTTAAAATTACAGCTTTGGAGACTCTAGGTACTTTCTACTTACTTGCAGAAAAATATTTTTATATTTTGAGATTGAAATTGCACTGAGTGTGGTTAAAACCTCATTTTTATTAACAGGTGCATTTCTTGAGTACCATTCTTTAGATAATGTGCTAAAAATACATAGGCTTCTAGAATTCTCTTTTAAAACTCTTAAGGAATTTAGTGTAAAATTTAATAATAGAGAAAATCTACTAGAACTATAGCAGGCATTCTTTTTTATAGTTTGGGGTGTCTGGGGACAGTAGTTTTGGCTACTACAACTTTAATACTTCCTTGGCCCCACAACTTTAATACTTCCTTGGCCCCTTATTAAAACAATTCAGGATTTTTATATATTATCAGTGAATTGTGTGAGTTTACAGAATTAAAATATTTCTTCATAATTGTTAATGTTGATTTCTTTTTATTTGCATTTTTAATTTCATTTTCTTTTATACATGTTCAATCACATTATTTAGCTTTCAAAGTGAATATTTGAACATGTGAACATTTCTCCCTATTCCAGTAGCTAAAACCATAAAATATCTTCAACAGACAATACTACATGGATTATCTACATAGTGTTGCTATCTGCATATAGATTGTTTTGTTGCTTAATAATTATTTTTTTCTTCTTTTTTGGGGGAGAGATTTTTGCTATAGGGTGTGTGCGTTCGCCAGTTAGACAGAGACAGAGGGACAGAAAGCGAGAAACGAGAAATCACCCCCCAGGGGGATGGCCATGCCGCAGTCCCTTCTCCTCCATTCTCCTCTCAGGATCTTGGGCACACACGCACATGCACCCGGTATGAGTTTAAGTCACCGGGTCCGGGACGCAAACCGCGGTCGAAAACATGGGAGTCCAGCGACATAGCCATTATGCTAACTGCTGGTCCCATTGCTTAATAATTTTTATGACTTTGTTATTTTTTTATTTTATTATTTATCCATTCGATCACTATACATCATTTTGATTGTGAGGAGATTTTACTCAGCATCATACACAACTCAGTCCAGTTGAATACTATACACATCCTCATCAACAGATCACAAACCTTATCTGTGTCCCACAAATATCTTATCTCTCCTTATTTTCCCCTAGTTTCCTTTCCTGCACTCTTCCCCTCGTACACTCTCCTTCCACTTTGTCTCTGGTATCCACAACAATTTTTAATTCTTTTATGTCCTCCAGTCTTTTTTTGGGGGGGTGGGAGGGTGGAGGTTTTTGCTACAGGATGCGTGCACTTGCCAGACAGACAGAGACAAACAGCAAGAAATCAGCCCCCAGGCAGGATGGCCACGCTGCAATCCCTTTTCCATTCTCCGATCGGGATCTTGGGCATGCATGCGCACATGCCCAGCATGAGTTTTAAGCCACCCAGTCCAGTACTCGAACTGTGGTCGACAATATGCAAGTCCATTGACATAGCCATTACGCTAACTGCTGGTCCCAATGTCCTCCTGTCTTTCAGTCTCTACCATAGAGTGCAAAAGGTCTGTATATGTTAAGCGGAGACATACAATGTCTCTCTTTCACAGTCTTACTTGCTTCAGTCAGCAAAAAATCTTCAATATTCATACACTTTCTATCAAATTCTAGGGCCTCAATATGCAAGTCCATTGACATAGCCATTACGCTAACTGCTGGTCCCAATGTCCTCCTGTCTTTCAGTCTCTACCATAGAGTGCAAAAGGTCTGTATATGTTAAGCGGAGACATACAATGTCTCTCTTTCACAGTCTTACTTGCTTCAGTCAGCAAAAAATCTTCAATATTCATACACTTTCTATCAAATTCTAGGGCCTCGTTTTTTTTTTTATGGCTGAATAATATTCCATGGAGTATATGTGCCACATTTTTTTTATTTAAATTTATTTATTTGCGTTCATTCACTGTACATCATTACAGCATATAAAACGAGATTTTTCATCCAGAGTACACTGTATATTGTCTCAATCAAGCACATCATCAAACATGTTATTGTCAGCAAATAATTTTCCATTTCTTGTTTTCTGTATGTTTTGCTTTCCTTCCCCCATCCTTGATTCCCTATCTCTTACCCTCTGCCATCTCCCACTCTCCTCCCACACTGTCTCTGGTATCTATGTTTGCTTTCTATA